AAACAAGAAAAAATAAACTAAATGACGAAGTCACTTGCAATCGCCACAAATCATGCGTGTTGCCAATGGAGACAAGACGCTGTGGTGATTAAACGATTAAAACTAATTTAGTACTATAACATACAGGGTCCTGCAAGAAAAAGACAAGACCGCAAATCCGTGGCCACAGAACAGCAGAATATGAAGGCATGCGTCAAGTCTCTCGTTAAGCGTTTTCATCCTGTAGAAAAACATAAACACTTAACATGGCTTAATGTATTAAGATGCTATTAAAATATCAAATTAAATATAAAATTTATTAATATAATGAATATGTATATAGTATCATATACATATACATAAAGATAATTTCTTTGGTTTGTGCACTGGAAGTGATCTGTTAATTCTGCTAAGATTCAATTACTAAAACTAAAACTGAAAATAAACTATATAAAAATGAAATAGAAATGTGTTCACAAAATAAAAACTAAACTAAAATTAACAAAATTATTAATGAAACTAATAAAATAAAATAAAATTTATTTCAAATTTGAAAACGATATTAAAATAAAACAAATTTAAAAATGCTAAACTATAATAACCTTGCTCCCAAGGTTATTTCTCCATTTCTGTCACAGATGTAGTTTTGGTTCCTTGCCACTGTTGCATTTGGCTTGCTTAGTTGGGGACACTTGACTGATTGCACAGACACTATTAGAAGAGAGCTGATCTGGATGCTGACATCACTGAATCATCAGTGAACTGACTTAAGCTGGAAAAAAGACTCTTTGTTATTGTCTTTTTGCATTATTGACAAACTATTTTCCTGTTTGACACTGTAAATCTGCCTTGACACAATCAGTATTGTATAAAGCGCTATACAAATAAAGGTGACTTGACTTGACTATTTATATATAAAAAATTGACTCTCTACACTAGCGTTATCTATTCTTTTTCTATTCTATCTACTTGTTTTTTGTTTGTTTTTTTGCTACGTGTACTACGTCAACTGGTCACTGGGGTTCCTCAGGGATCAGTTCTTGGACCCCCTCCTCTTTTCCATATACACTACATCACTGGGACCCATCATACAGGCACATGGTTTCTCCTACCGTTGCTATACTGATGACACACAGCTCTATCTTTCATTTCAACCACATGGTCCAACAGTAGCTGCACGGATCTCAGACTGCCTGACGGACATCTCGGTATGGATGAAAGAACATCACCTACAGCTCAACCTGGTAAATACTAAGCTTTTCGTCTTCCCTGACACTCTGACTCTACAGCATGATTTCACCATCCAGCTTGGTCAGAAATCTTGGTGTAATCTTTGATGACCAGTTGACTTTCAAAGACCACATTGCAAAAACGGCTCAATCTTGCAGGTTTGCATTATACATCAGGCCCTTCCTAACGGAGCATGCTGCACAACGTCTTGTCTAGGCCCTTGTCATTTCTAGGCTGCAATGCTCTTCTGACTGGACTTCCATCATGTGCAATCAAACCTCTTCAAATGATTCAGAAAGCAGCAGCACGTCTGATCTTCAACAAGCCCAAAAGGGCCCACGTCACACCTCTCTTCAAGTAAAGTTCAAGTAAAGCATAAAGTTCAAGTCATTGATACTTGTATATTGAACAGTCACAGGCTCAGCACACTCCTACTTCCACTCACTCTTATGAATTTACATCCCCTTCAGAAGCCTGAGATCTACAAGTGAGCGAAGCCTCGTGGTACCATTACAGAGAAGCACAAAATCACTTTCCAGAACATTTTCATTCACCGTTCCTGACTGGTGGAATGATCTTCCCACCCCCATCCAGAATGCTGAATCCCTGACAATTTTCAAGCGACAGCTGAAAACTCGTCTCTTTTGCCAACATTTAACTGCATCCTTAAATAAAAAAATTAAAAAAACTTTACTTTCTCTTTCCTTAATCCCCCCCCCCCCCCCATCTAAATTGTACTAATCTGAAAAATGTCTTAAAAACTTTGTATTACGAGCACTTCTTTATTTGCCTCGCTTATTCCTCAATTGTAAGTCGCTTTGGATAAAAGCGTCTGCTAAATGAATAAATGTAAATGTACTGCGTTAGACTAACCGAGACTTTCATATTATTGCACTTACATATTATTGCTCTTTTGTTGGTTTTGATTGCTTCTATTGTCCTCATTTGTAAGTTGCTTTGGATAAAAGTGTCTGCTAAATGACTAAATGTAAATGTAAATGAAAATCATGCTGTGCTGTTTGAATTA